AAATATGAAGTATGGTCTACAATAACATATTATATGCATTAATATAAGACATAATGGACAACGCTATTTATACATTTATAAAATATTATATAAACAATTATTATAAAGTCAAAATTCGTCGTGTATCATTAAAATACGCAATCGCAGTAAAATGAAATATTTTTGAAAATATTAAAATTTCGTTTATCAATYTAAAACTGAATGAAAAAACGAATGTCATATTTTCATCAGACATTAGAATCGTCGCATGACAAAATAATACCTATCTATTCTATTATTATTATTTAGCTAAACAGGTTTATCACAGTGTGATTTTATTAAAAGTTTAATGAACTTTGATATTATAATTGATAATACCAGTTTTATCAAGAGAATGTTTTCCTGAGAAAAAAAAAATCATGTACATATTATCTTCTGGCCGTGAGGTCGTCAGATAACTTGAGTCACATGGTGATGTTCTGATGAACGTGGTCTAGCTTTTAAATGAAAAAAAAACCATTTCGCGCGGGCATATATTATTATATACTGCACCGCCACAATCAAATATTGTTCCACGGCAAATAGATTTTCAAACCAACCGTGGCTAGGAAATGAAAACAACACTATTCAAACAATTGAATGACAAATATTTAAATTGTGATTATAGGAAAAAAACGTAATTACTATTTATGCGTATGCCTTTTTTACATCGTCGAATCATAGTTCACGCGCGAGTTGACTACCACGCGTGTAGTATGCCTCTAGTTTATACCTATATCAAAACTCTTGGAATAGTTATGCATATCTTATTAAAAAAAGGTATGATATTGTGTTTACCTTATTTATAGGTAGATAGGTACTTCACTGAATATTTAAATAATATATTACTATTATTATCTCTCTGAAATGTATGTGCGAAGTGATTATGCGGTAAAAAAAAAATATTTAAAGTCAATAGGTTGTCCATAATACACGATTATAACAGGTAAAGTAACAAAATAAAGAACAAAAAATAAACAGTTCAAAATTACGCAAATCAAACTTTGCAGACGCGACGACGTCGCCTCCCGAGTTGTCGTACGCACTTTCGTATATTTATGAAAAATGGAGTATGATTAAATTGTAAGCCACTTTTCCGCTTGCAGTGCCATGTTCTTATTTCACACTTCACCACCGGTAATATATATATATTTATTTATTTATTTATTAAAACACACACACACACACAATTTGAATAATGTACTCATATAATATAATATGTGTGTAATGCCATGCCTAGCGAATATGCAAGGTTTTTTAATTTTTTTCAAATACGGTAGTCGAACGTTTTTCGAGATGGATGCTGATGAATGCGAGACGTTTTCAGTACATGTGGAATGATCGTGTTAGGCAACGATGACGACGATGATGRTGCAAATCGAAGATAATACCTTAAGATATTTATCCATTTTAAACACATGTTATATGAGTATATGACGTATATTACGAATTATTGATGTTATTGTGTTTATTTATAACATATTATTATAGTTGTATACCTACATAATATGTACCGTAACGTCTTCGGAAACTGGGTACACACTCCAAAATTCAGTTAATACCATAATCCTATTCATATTTTTGAATTCTGTTTGCGGGACATGATACTAAACTATCTGATTATTCATTTCTATAGGACTTACAATTTTTAACTCTCTTGTATAATATAGCACATGCGCAAAAACTTCATCTATTCTGTATACATTATGTTCTCGGACACATGGTATAAATATGGTACCTCATTATGTTTGACTGCAGGACGTATACAAACGGCGAAACGAATCCGTTCCATTTATAATCATATTGGATTACAGTTGATTAATGATTTATAGTGTAATAGTATATAGCAGGTAGAGCGGGTAAGCACGTGTTATAAAATACTGTTAWATAGTTTATTCGCTTTAAAGTCAGCCGATTTGTCATCTCTTCGTACGTAATAATATAACGTACAGTTTCCGGTGACGTATTGGTTAACCCTTTGTTATACGCGATCGTCRATAATATGCAGTGTACATCGCAGGTAGGAAGACAWCTCTCATCATGTATGTTTAATAAAATACGTAAATGTATATTTATATTTAATACCATTCCATCGAATCCTCAGACTAGCACCCCACCCAGCTTTTCTTCGCCTTTCAGATCGTATAGTTTCACGCAAGAGATAACCACTAGTGCACAAAACAATATACGTACATAATTTATACCATTCACTTTGTATACCTATATGTATACAATATACATTTACGTATATTACAGCTGCGACAATCCGAGGAGATTCTATTTCCGACCAACTGTCTATATCTCTCTCTCTTTTTCTCTCCTTCCCTTTCTCTCTCTTTACTCCTCATGTAGGCGTACAGCGCGTGTGTGACATTATATATACAATACCGATACGCATGAGAATTTGTGACCGTAAGGTGACATAAATCCACAAACACACACACACACACACACACACTACTTCTACTACTATAGTTACTACTACTATAATAGTACCCTATACTACAACTACAACCAGCTGCACAGTGCACGTATGACGATAGACCTGGCGACGAGCCACGATCGTCACGATTAAACGGAGATAAGACGACACAATAATAACACGGTGGATATGATTTAGACAATACCTACGATATACGGTCAAACATATTATAGTTTATTGTAGTTTATTGTTTATTAGTTATTACGATAATAATATCGAACACCGAACACTTATATAGTATAGGTAAGAAGGTGCAGGTACTCACTTGCATCAGATTCGTAGTCTTTTCGCGTTTTTTCAGACGGCACTTGGTCGCCGCTATCTTGTTGCGTTCCCGCCGCCGTCTTCTCCTCTCTTCGTCTTCGGCCGTTAGCTGTGCACACAAAAACACCAATCGTTATCACAATTATTATAACGCAGACTAAACACAATATCTATGGCACGCCACGCGTGACCTTATCACACGTTTACATGACGCGTGTACCTGAGGAGCCCGTTCATAATAATATAGTACATAACATAAGTATCTATAACTATAATTTTATTACCTACCTACCTACTATCGTAAATTCTGTATCGGTGTTTATTCGCAGTGTACTGCAGAATGATGACCTGAGATAGGTCATTAATTTAAACTTTATCRCACAAATAATAATGTTACTCGTGTATTTTTTATCGAAAAAACATCAATAAATATATAAAGTTTCAAAATTAAGAAGGTTTTGCGAGATTTACATGCCCTCCTCCATATATACATACACATAGCATAGACACCACACTTCGACATTGGACAGTCTCCCCTGACAATATCTCTATATCTTCACCCACTTAAATAGACCTATATAGTGTAATTATATTGTAATATTATACGCGCTCACACCGAGCAGATCATTAAATGGCTTTGAGGTCGCAACCTAAAAGAAGTTATTACAGTCGGTGCATGCGACTTGCATGTTAAATACAGACAAACTCCATAATTATTTACTATTATTATCATTATTATTATTATTATCCATCGTCGCACCGGCACACGCGTCAATCGCATTCTTCGGCTATTTACCGTAGGCGTACATTCGAAAGTGACGTTGTTGCAGCGTTATCATATCAACGAGAACGCGATTTGTACTTACAAAAAAAGGTCGATGGACGGGAAAAAATAGTATAAAGACCGATATCGCGCGCGTGTGTATGAATAAATGCATCGAAATCAGACTCGTGTACATACAATGAGATTAATGACAAGTTTTAGCACTTTGAACGAACAAAAATATAATTTTTTAATATCTTATTAAARTAGGTAGATGCCAACCTATATATAACAATTTGGTGCCCCCAAAAAGTGCTACCCAAAGCATTCCTCTTTATCATTATCCTAGAATCCTAAAACAGCTTAGCTACAGTATGTGATATTAATTTATTGTAAATATGTATTATTATTACGGCATTTGATAAGACCGTATAGGCGTGTAGTATTTATAATGGTCATTGGACGCTTACTCCTTCGCCATGTGATGATACATCATCTCCGTCATCGTCGTCGTAGTCGTCGTCACCGTGAGACTCCTCGTCGGTCCGTCGCTTTTTTGCGTGTCCGCCACCCGGCGAAGAGGCGACTAAACCAGCCGACGCCGTGGCCGCCACGATCATCGCACAAGCGCCGGAAGTGATCGTTCCGCCTGGTTTTATCGGACTTCCACCGGCGCACGACGATGTCGTGGTTCCTATCACTGCGTTCCTCTGTTTGGACCGGATGGCCATCTTGAGCTCCTCTTTTATCTTCAAACTGGAACAGATGCTCTGCATCCTGGCCGTCGGCGACACGGGGGAGCACGTCGAAACGGGAGAACACGTCGACACAGGGGAACACGTTGACACTGGGGAACAAGTCGAACCGGAAGAGTCTTCAGACGCCAGTGGCCCGTTGCTGGGGAAATTTTGGAATGGATCCATCAAGGATATCAGCGAATTGATCACATCGGGTGTGTTCGGGATTGTCGAACAGCTATGTGATAATGCAGCGACCGCAGTCTGACCGCCGCCACCACCCCCGGTAATAGAGTAAGACATGATCGAGTGTGACAGCGAAAATGGTAATCAAATAACCCCTTAAGAAGTTTATAGTAGTTTATAGTACGTCGGTGATATCTGATATAGACACAGGTGACAGGTGTGCCTGATAGTGATCCTAAAAAACAAAAACAAAAATTTTTTAATACTCATCGACCAGAATATATTATATTAATTATATAATAATTTATGTTAAATTTAATATTTTTATACGAAACATTTCGATTTCAGTCATTTTTATGTCATTTGATACTATTATTTGTTAGGTCTTTTTACTTTTTTCATTGCTTATTTACTATCCTAACATTATAGGTAATTTTTCATCAACTTTTATTTTTATTTAATTTATTAGCTGATCTAGTTTTAAATAATATTTTAGCTCTACTAAAAGCAACTTATAYAAATATAAAACATAATTTTCAAACTATTTTTAGACGCCCTTAATTGTACTTTCGTATGCAATACGATTTATTGAATTAAATTTGCTTTCATCATTTATAATGAGCTAGCTATACTCAATGACGTAAAACACTCGACTTTTTTTCTACCCGATTTTCGTATGACACTTTATTTATTGCCATAGAAACACAAATCAACAAAAAAAAAACTAAATTAAATTCCTAAYAAAATGTAACAAAGGTTATTATAGATATTTTTCTACTAAACTATACCTACCTACCTAAAAACAAATCTATAATTCCTCAATGTTTCTTGAAGATGAAATATATCTGGTATAGCATGCTACTTAAATACAAACGAACAGTTTTTTTTACATATATTTATATATAGAAACGTCACCAATGATCTGTGCAGAATTCCTGAGTGAAACTTTTACACACCAAACTATCTAWATGTATAATGTTATATAATAACAATTTTCTCGTCGTTGAATATATAGTGAATAGGCATTTTGATTGAATATTCAAATTAGTATGGGGTTTAATTATTTAAAGCTGTAGTCATAGGGGAATGACGGAGATCCCTATTCTTGCTATCAAGAGAAACTTACGAAAAGGTCAAAAAGAATAAATACCATGAAAATTACATGATTCCATTTTTCGTGATCTATGGGTGAACCGTAATTTATTATTTMTCACTCAGAATAGATCCATAATAATTTAACAACTAACTATTTTTAATGCTAGTTAATCTATATGACGTGTAAACTATAGACTTATTTTCATATTCATGAATTATATGAGATAGGTATTTGTCAAAATGTTTTTTTATTGATTTTAAGCCCGCTGACTAAGGCCTTTAGCTATATTAAGGGTTATGAAMTGTGGTAGGGGTAAGGTTTTGGTACGGTAGGTTGTTTTTACGGTTGTTATGGTAGGTAGCCAACACGTGGATGTGTGGCAAAGTTTTTAACTAGGGACTATGAACCCGGGTGATCACCCATCCGGGAGCTAGTAGCTGTGGCCGTTACTTACTAACTTGTCGCATTTCGCGATTGGTAGCAGCCAACGCGCCACGACAAGCCATATCAAAATGTTAATATTTTTTTTAAATAACTAATTTATTTTTATTGATGAAACACGACAATACTACTTTGCCGTCTGCAATACACGAATAGTATTCAACAATATTAAACGGCATATTACGATATTATCGTATTATATCTTATGTAAATCTCGTAGGTATTAATATCAAGAAAGTTATTAACTTTAAATTCGTAATATTTTATGACTTTTATTAATTTTATGTTTTTAGCTATAATGTCCTACACATCATTTGACACTTGACGCATAAGTACCAATAATACATAATAATATTATGAAAAAATGGTAGTACAGGTATGCTGTTTATTTATTATTATTCACATAAAACAGTTAAATTATATTTTAATACYAATACAAATAATATGTAAATAAAATAATAATACACTATTTATATTATTCCTATACACTGCTTTAGTACAGGTACTTCTCGATATTATTTCACGACAAGTATGATGTAATTATACTTTTAACATTAATAATGTGATGCTAAATTGTGAATATTTTATCAACTTGTGTGTTTTCAACCAATGAAAAATTAGTGTGATATTGTAATACATAGGTATAGAATTGAATTAGTGTACCTAAATTATTATTTTTTTTTTTCTTCACCAGATTAAACCCGATAGGCGATAAGTTTTCAAACGGCCGCGGCTGTACAAATACCGGACTGCTACACGCGTGCATAAAAAAAAAATCTTACGATAAAATACGATTTTAGTGGAGCTTGCATTAAATTATACGAGCGTTATAAGGTATAGATGTTTGTATAAATATTACATATACAATAATGTACGTAAATACGACATAATACATCAATGCGTTAGTAACGCGTGCCTTAGAAGTAAAATAATATAATATTTAATAAAAATGTGTCTAAACAGGCATAACGTTACTGCTATAACACGTATGATATATATCAGTTTAGACATAATAAACGGTAACCTTTTCGATTGTTAGASTCGTCGAGTACGCTACAAACTGTTGTAGATACATTATTGTGCGATATTAAACGATATAATATGCCATATTTGGACAAATATTTTTGATGAGCACTCCACTCCGCTCATCAAAACTTTAAATACTTA